CTTGAAAACGGAAGCACAAAATGATGGGATAAGGAGCAACTCAAGCTCCGAAAACCTTGGTGAGATCGCAATTTTGCCTTGTGTTCTATTTCAAGCAGCATTTGGTGAGATCTTTCCCTACTTTCCTTTATTTTTCTTTGTGTGCATAGTTAGTTTAGACTAGAATGGAGTTGATTGTTCGAGGTTGTTTGCATTTGATTCCTCGGAATCTGGTGATCGTTGGTATTGATGCCGAACGATCTTTGTTTGTCGATTGAGAATTATATGTTTACTAGCCTCTTATCTCTCTTGAAAAATGTGAAAAAAAAAAATAAATAAAAAAATAAAAAAATAAAAAAAATAAAAAAGATTTTCCTTTTTATTCATGGCAAACCACGAAAAGCTTAGTTGTTTCATTTTCATTTCGAGCATAATAATGTTGACTCGTGTGTTTGAATGCTTTGCTTCTTGAGTGTTATAAGTTTGCATGCTTCAGGATTGCCATTGGTTGACTCTGGGACATGTTCATGCTAAGGTAGTTGTTCTAGAACTCGTTAGGCCCATCGAACCCAAATTCACTTGTTTGTGGTAAGAAGGTGTTGCTCTCATTAGGGGATTTGAAGCCCTAGAGATGGTTTTTGTAACCCGATGTGAGTTTTATTGTTCAAGCCTCCAGCATTACTTTTATGAGCGGCGTAGGATCCTCACCAAGGCATGCTTAGATCTAGAACTTGGCGTCTGGCTCCCGAGATCGAGACCGAACTAACCTACGAATGACAAAGGCATTCTTCATTGGGTGACTATTTTTGTTTTCTAGTATTAGTTTTTTTTTTCTTTTTGGGTTGCATTGCCCTTACCATGTTGAATCTTCCCTCCTTGATTATAGCACATTGCAAGCCCATGGCCCTTTTGTTTTACCTTCACCCTTAGAATCGTGAAGCTCAAGCCATGAGGGCTTATTGTAGTTTTGATTTGAAATTTGGAAGGGAATGGTTCTACTTGGAAAGTGAAGCAGTGTTTTTGTGAATATATGTTCAAGAAAAGCAAATGTAAATCCTAGAAAAAAGCCTTTGAAGCTAAAAAAAAAAAAGAAATGTGACAAACGAAGAGTTGATGAATGAAGATGTAAGAGGAAAGCGAAAGCTCAAAAGTGTTTGGCATTATAGTTCAAGATTGTGGCAACGTAGTTTGAAAATTGGTTGATGATTGATTTTAAAAAAGAGGCTTGATCACCCTTTGCTTCACGGTTAGGCTAAGCACCAATTTCCAAATTCCTCCACACCCTTACCCCCTAGCCTTCGTTATAACCTTTCAATGCCCTGTTGACCTAGGTTGGTTGAGTCACTAATCGGTGGAGGGAGCTGGAACTCAAGCATATGGAGAAGGCATGACTTGGTGAGATGTCGGGTTCCCCTATTTTGCAGTGTTTTATCTTTGTTCCGGCTCCTTCGAGGAGTAACTTGATGCTATCTCCAAGGGCGGATTTGAATCTAGATGAGGGAGCGCGGTAAGATTGTATGGAATGCGGGGGGAGTGGTGCATGTTTGAGTTCTCTATGCTTAGCATAACTTATCCTTCAATCAACTTTCGGCATCCCCTTGCATGCTCACTTCTACTACTCAGAAAGTTTGGCACTCATTCATGTTTGTTATCTCCAAAAGCTCGATTGGCTATGATTTGTGTTGGATTTGTTGTTTCTCTTTCCCTTGTTTTTGGTTTGTCTTGAACACAATTTTGTAAGAGTTGTGAGTATGCTCTCTGGAAACCTCACGAGATCACAACTCGTCCTCATCGGCGACCTTGGGGTTTAAATGGCTTGTTGCTTTTTGCTAAAAGCAATTTCGGTTTTTTCTTTTGTTCCTTGCATGTTTGAATAACTAATTCTTTCTCCTTGTTCTTTTTCCTTTGCTTTGCTCGAGGGCGAGCAAAGGCTTAGCGTGGGGGAGTTTGATGAGTGACATTTATGTCACTCTTAGGGGTAGTATTTAGGTCTTTTTCCTCTTATTTTTCTTAGGTTTTTCCACCTCATTATCCTTTTATGGCTTCTTTTTGTGTTGATGAAAAGTAATGCTTATTTTGATAATCTTTATGCATTATTTATCATCCCATGCTCTCGTGAACTTTGGTATCTTCTGCAGGTTCCGTGACGGTCCTATGCACGGTGGGAGGCCCCTTGGCCAAGCATGGAAGCCATGGACAAAGGCAAGAGGAGCAAAAGGGAAGGAGAGGAAGCAAGAAAAGGAGTGCTAGAGGAGGTGTGGCCGAACCTCTGAAAGGTCGGTCGAACCTTGGTGTGGTCAAACTTTTCAAAAGTTCGACCGAACCTCCAGGGTGCAGTGAAGGCAGTGTCAAACCTGTTTTCAGCAATTTTGCAGGAGAGGTCGAACCTCAAAAGTTCGACCAAACAAGGATCAGGGAGGTTCGACCGAACCTACACAGGGTTCGACCGAAACTACCTGAGTCCGACCGAACTACCCAGAGTTCGGTCGGACCTTTTCCCGATCTCAGCCAATTTTGTACGGACTATTTAAGGTCCTTTTGAGATCGTTTTAAAAAAAGAAGAAGGAGGACAATAGCCTAGTTTTCAGAAACCTCTTAGTTTGAAACATTCCTTAGGATTAATTTAGCTTAGTTTTCATCAAATCAAATCATTGTATTAGTGAAATCAAGAATTATTTCTCAAAGTTTGGCAATTTGTATTCAACATTTGAAGCTTCAATTAGTAATTTCTCCAACCTTCTTCCTTTTTAATTTCAGATTTTATTTGGTATTTGCATGTTATTTAAATCTTCTTAGTTCTTGGTAATTTGTTATTGGATGATAGTTATTTCAATTGTTAACCACTTTTCCCCAATTATTGAAGTATTTAGAACCCTAATTCTGATTTTCATGTTGATAAACATGAGTTGTGAGTAGTTTTCTTTGCTAGGGGTTGGGTGAAGCTCGACCTTTTGGGTTAACTATGCAAATGTGGGAGAAGCATTGATGTTTGTATTGCAATTAAATTGATTATATGAGATTGCTTGTTAGTTCTCATGATAGGTTTAGCTACCCTTGACTAAGGAGCTTGATAGTATGATATGCCTAATTTGACATGGAAGTGTAAATTGAGTACGTCATTACTTATTGTAATTTGATTATGTATCATCTATTGCTAAACTAATGAGGAATCTATAGTTCTTGGTAATTTGTTATTGGATGATAGTTATTTCAATTGTTAACCACTTTTCCCCAATTATTGAAGTATTTAGAACCCTAATTCTTGATTTCATGTTGATAAACATGAGTTGTGAGTAGTTTTCTTGCTAGGGGTTGGGTGAAGCTCGACCTTTTGGGTTAACTATGCAAATGTGGGAGAAGCATTGATGTTTGTATTGCAATTAAATTGATTATATGAGATTGCTTGTTAGTTCCTCATGATAGGTTTAGCTACCCTTGACTAAGGAGCTTGATAGTATGATATGCCTAATTTGACATGGAAGTGTAAATTGAGTACGTCATTACTTATTGTAATTTGATTATGTATCATCTATTGCTAAACTAATGAGGAATCTAAGTTTAGTAGTGTGAGTTGTTTTCTAATTGCATGAAGTTGATTTTACATATAGTCCTTGCTATATCTTGTCTATTTTACTCCCCGTTTGCCTATTTGCCTTGGTTGAGTGGATCTCATTCCCTAGTATCTTTAATTCATTGATTTAGAACCATAGTTTGTTTGTCTTCTTGACGAACCCCAATTCACCAATTGACTTCGAGTTAGCTTAAGTGTAAAGATCTGTGGCAATCATATCCTGTTCCTTGTGGACCGAACTCTTACTTGTCATTATGCTTGGTTTGTAAGGTGTTTGTTAATATATGTGTTTGATTGAGTGTGGAATGTACGACCGTTCTAACGCCCATCAGTATGATGATATATAAAGAAAAAATATATCAAGTGGGGTCTTGTTAGATTCGTTATAATGTGTATTTTATTAATATGTAACTTTCATATTTTTTTCATTACAAAATTAATGATATTTAACGGTTAAAAACCGCACGTAATACGATGATTTGATCCAGAACTTTGTGATATGAAGAAATAAGTAAAAATAAGTTAAACTAAACATGGCCTTAGTTCTTCTATGCCTTCAAGTCCTCCTTGTACTTAGATTACATTGTTTGAATGTGTTTCTTTTCCTTAAAGCACCGGCACTTGATGTTAGGGTTGTCCGCCTTCTTGCCTTTCCACTTTTTTTCCACCACTTGATTCGACTACCAATCCCTCAATGTGGATGGATTGATGATCCTCCTTGCTTCATAAATCTCTCTGCCTTGATTAGGGCTACCACAGTATCGTCCAAAGCAACAACAATATCCTCCTTGCTTCATAAATCTCTCCGCCTTAATTAGAGCTACCAAAGTTAGTCTTCCCTACAAGTAATTTTGTTATAACAAATTATACCTTTTAGGGAGAACCGTCAACAATATAATTGCCTTTTCCTCGATTTTCTCATCTAAACTCTTTAATTAGGGATCATGCCGTTTAACTATATTAGATGATTATGGAACGAGCCACCATCCTCTGTCCCGAGCGAATAGAGATATTTCTTCAACAACTACTTGTTTGCTTGCTCCCTAAGCCTAAATAATCGTAGATTGATTACATACCTAAATTCTTTCTAGTTTCCTAATTACAAAACCTATCTAGCTAGGAAAGCATAATAAATAAAAGATATGTTATATCATTTTCCAAAACGAATCTAACCTCGTTGGTTTTGGTAAGTTTAGTTTATTTCCTAACATATCCCAAATGAGCTCCAATTTTCTTGTCAAGTTAATGAAGTACAAAAAGGGTCAATATATTTTTTTTTTTGTAAAGTTGTACTCGTTGGTGTAAGAATTCAAATGAAAACACTCTAGCGCAGACAAATATTTAATGGCATTAGTTTTTTTTTTTTTTTTTTTTTCCACTCACATGTGCAAAGAACAAAAGGAATAATATTTGCAGATCTCAATGGTTTAAATTTCCTGCCTAAGATGATTATTGAATAAGAATATGCCTTTTATTTTCATTCAGCAAACTTTTGGTCTTTTTCCTTTGGGGTATTATAATCTGTGACTTTGTAATGTGAATTTTACCAGACACGAGTTATTTTTCTGACAGAATTTGTAGTTCTGGTGGGTCTATTTAGGCAGCTGTCTTCTATCAGCTGTATACAAGTCTCTCTCTATTTTGGGGGTTTGATCGTATAATGCAGAAATCTTACCATATTTCTCTGTATCTATTTAAAACAAAGATATCCATTAGGATTGAAATTATTTTTTTTGTGAAAATGGCTAGCTTTGATGGAAATTGTCTTGGGTTTCTGTCAATCACTGGCCCATCTCTATCATCATGTTTAATCCTATCTAAATTTTTGTTTATGGGTTATCAAATGTGAGAAATTCTGGCAAAAAAGAGTTTAGATCACTTTTTGTTCATGTTGAGAAAGATACGCTTCTTCCCCATTCTAAAAGTAGGTTGTAGTACAAAATTTGAAGCAGTTAGATTGAAATAGTTCTTTTTGTTGACTTGCAGTAAAACAGTGTATGCTTAAAATTTTCACAGAGATTTAGCCTTTTGTCAAAAGAAAAAAAAAAAAAAAAAAAAAACACAGAAGAGGTTTATTCTTGATTTTATGTCCAACTGATTTTTAATTACTTTCCTTCAATTTAGCCTCATCTGTTAAAATAGCCTTTGACCTTTCCTTTCTTTCAATTTGAGCTTTTCTTCCTGGACTGGTGGTTAACAGACAAATAAACATATTTTCCACAAGATTTATATTTCATAAGTTGGCCAATCTTGGTAGACGTCTAGGAGGCTTATTAATTGTAGAAAACCCTTCAGTATCCTGTCATAGTTACAAGAAAAGTCTATCATCTGATTGAAGGAAATTCATGCATCATTGACATTTAGTGCGTTTACTGGAGTATTATGCCATATGTTACCATTTCTCCAACTAGCTCCTGCCCTGGGCAGGTTAAGTGGTAAGATGTACATAATGTCATGGCTTTACTACACAATAGCAAAGAGTCTCTTTTAGACTTATACCTACAATGGGAGTTTCCATTAGATCCTTAATTCCGGTAATTGACTGGAAATTGATTTAGACTTTCATAGAGTATCTATATACAGCAGATTGGAGTCCATTTTACTATTATTCATGCACACTCAATGATATTATTTTTATATGATGTATATTTTATGTTTAATTTCATTGGGTTGTATTGTAATGAATAGCTGAACAAAATCTTGATTTTTTTTCAAGGTAAAAGGTGGAGATCCTCTTTTAAAGCTCATAGCTGTGGATTGGCTCAAGGCTGACCAGAGCATTGACAAGGTTGCATTGCGCCCATCCTGTGTTGTTCAGGTAATTCAGATACCCCTTGACAACCCACTTTGCATCTGACATAGCAAATAGATTCAAGCTAGCTTTCAGCTCAACTTTTAATTGTTGATTTTGTGACACCACCACCCCCCCCCCCCCTCTACTCAGTTACTGTAGATATGAAGACCAGAGTAAAGGGGGTTTGAGTTTACCTAGTCTGTGTTTTCACTATGTTTTAGTTTCAATTTAAACTCACTATGTTTTAGTTTCAATTTAACCAAGGGGGTTTGAGTTTCACTATGTTTAAACTCACTATGTTTTAGTTTCAATTCTGTTACCTCACCTTTTCTTCTGTTATCTCAGTCAGAAGCTGGAAGAAAACTTCCATTCATTCTCGTTTTTAATCTCCAGGTATGTTTGTCCAGGTTTATTCTTCTCTTCCCCTACCCTGATATCTCAAGATCAGTCTTTAATGAGCTGCGCATTTGAGAATGAGCCTCTTTGATTATAGGATTTTTTTTTTTGGTTATATGCATGTTAGAACATCTCTTATTACTATTTTTTCTTCCTATGCTTATGCCTTAGATTTATGTTTATCATTTAATCATTACTGTTCTGGAATATACTTTCTGTTGGCTACTTGGCCAAAATAAATAAGAATGGTCTCCAATAGTCAACAGGTGATGCAGAAGCTATCCTTTTATTCTGTGCACTTGTGCAGTAAACTGAGAGTGCTTCTCTATGCATCTGAACACTGCAATAATTCTCTTCTTTCATAGGCGTAGAATTGCGAGTGTTAACTTTTAGGTTGTTAATACTTGAAGAGTTTCCGGCTTCCTATTTGGTTAAAAAAAAAAGTACATTTCATCTGTTTGAATTGAGAGGAAAGTAATTTGTTGAAAATGTAGGATCTCTTATTTAACGATACATTTAGATGTATCTTTAGTTTTAATCTTTTAAATGTTTCTCAAAGTTTTGACGACTATGATTTTGGTACAATCAGAGAATTGAAGATCTACTGTAATGCCTAGGAGTTTGGACTTTGATAATTCTAAATATTTATAAGGATGATAGCTTTTATTTTGACGAGAAGATTTTATACAGATAGACTGCTAATAGGTGTTATTTTATGCTGGATCTTTGGAATGCAATCATGATGTTATATTCTTCTTATTTACTTCCGTATCAGTAGTTCCAACCTCAACTAAATTAGAGTTGCTCCTGTTGTTCCAGATCCCAGCCAAACCAAACTACAATCTGGTTTTTTATTATGCCTCTGACAGGCCTGTGAATAAAGATTCATTATTGAGCAAATTTATTGATGGGACTGACGCATTCCGTGATTCAAGGTTCAAGCTCATACCAAGCATTGTGAAGGTAAACACAATATAGGCTCATATAATGCAAGTGTTCGTTACATGTTCAGTAAATTTGGGAAGCTTATTGACTGTAACTGATAATACTCAGAAACTAATTTCTTGTATTGGTTCAGGGCTATTGGATGGTTAAACGTGCGGTAGGAACAAAAGCCTGTCTGTTGGGTAAAGCTGTGACCTGCAGATACCTGAGACAAGACAACTTTTTGGAGGTGATTAAGTTTTTATATAAATACGTTGAAGGCAGATGCACTTGACACACCTTTTTGGTTAGATTAAAAAATTTCTGATGCTTATTCCATGTCTGAGCTGCACTTCAAACACACTTCAAACATCGTTTATGTTTGATATAAGATGTGCCTTTTTCCAAGGAAATGCTTTCTTGAAACTGAATCAGGGTGTATATATTTGATTTGGAGTATATAGAAATTTAGCTGATTAATATTTCGCGAAACCTATTCAGGGGTCATAAGTATTTTATTTAGAAGTGATACTCTATGTTTCTGAATAGATTTGATGTGTCTAGTTTTACTGGTCCCTCATTTTCTGAATTTTATTTGGCTGTCCTTCAGACATCCTGAATTTTTTTTACTAAGTCCAAATTGATTCGCGTATTGTATGAAAGCTTTTCTGACAGTAATAAGAAGAATGTTATACTAGCATGTGATTTATAAATGAGTGGTACTTATTACTTACGCAGTTTTCATTTTCCCCCCTTTTTATGTTGATATGGCAGATTGATGTGGATATTGGTTCCTCATCAGTTGCTAGAAGTGTTATTGGTCTTGTCCTTGGATATGTCACAAGCTTAGTGGTTGATCTTGCAATTCTGATAGAGGTTAGTGCTTCTGCTTCACTTGTCAGTTGTTCTTTTGTTATTATAATCTTGTGGACTGCGGAATCTGTTTCTTTCAGTTTTTCTGCCTATCTCAGTGTTGCATACTAGCATTTGAAATCTCTCTCTTTCAGTTAGTCCTTCAATTAATGGTTACTTCCATGCGTATTGTTCATCATCCGTGCTGATGTGGATCTAAATAGACCCTATATAAAGTAAAGATGATAATACTCAATTCTTGCAGGATTTAAGAGTTTCTTGTTAATCGCAGTCAACAAGATGAACACAAATTGCAATAAGTGTTTTTGGTTTTAACAAAACCGAATAAACAAGCATAACGCTTATCAATTTTTATAAACTTCAATCTGTCTAATGTTTACATCATATGGCTTTATATAGCTGAAAACAAAACCCTAATATAATTCTAGATTAATCCTACTAGATTAAAATAAAAACAATAACTAATTAAAATAAATCTAAGTGGAATTAAAACAAGACCACAAAATATACCCATTACAACCTTGATTTGTAAAATAACCCAAACCCAAACATAAAAAAGCCCAGCAAGATAATTAATATTTAGCTCCCCTTCACTACCATATCATTTTCCTCATCTTTGCAATAAATTTGCCATTTTACGAGTTCAAATCACATGCAAAAACCGTGGGTATCTTCAACTTTATAGTGTCTTCAAGGAAGAAAGTTCTACTGAGAACATTTAAAGCAGCTTCCAGAGGTGCATTTTTGTTCACAACCTCATGAAAATAAGATAAATATTACCCTTCTCCACCCCAAAAGTATGAACTAACGGACTAACCAATCCAGTAGTGGCTCATAAATAGTATAAAAATCTTTCACATAAACTATGAGATATTTCACCTTGTACAAAATGAGTCGAAGGGTCAAAATGATTTTTTTCCTTTTTCCAGTAAAATATCAAATGTTGTATCCTTTGATTCTATTTCTTCTGTTTCAAACTCTTTTCTCTCCCTTAAAAGTAACTCCAAAGATTCAATAATATTTGTAAGATTTTTGTCATATATATTGTAAGATTTACAATTGACCGTTGTTTATCAGCCCGTTCTCGACAACACAAATCACACTAACAATCTTCTAAGTAAGTCTTTGACTAAAAATTAATGCTCAAGTTCTTGTTTCAATTTAAACCAACTGTGTATTATAGGTTTACCTTCATGAAACCATTTGAGTTTTAAATTTCTCCACCACTTCATTGCACAATTTGTGAATGACGAAATCACAACAGGAATAAATCCTGAATCAATAAACTTGAAGATGCTATAAGCTTGATCGATTTGTTCAACACATCTCTTAAATTCATTGTGACAAAATAATCCTTCAAATTGACGAATTTTAAGCTTGAATCTATCCTCATCTCTAGTCTCACACGGTCACACCAGAAGCCCGTGTATTTCCCACCAATATTTAATGCTCCAATCAAATTTGGATAACACTTACAATGAACAAGATTAAACTCCAACAAAGTCAATATCAACATAAGCAAATAAAACAAAAGCCACCAAATTTCTTTTGTGCCCAAATATAACAATCTCACAAATGTCAATGCAATATCTCACTTAAATTAATATAGCACTTTCATATGTAACTCCAATACTCCAACAATTTAATGAGATGAACATGAAACAAAGTAACAAGGCAATCTCTCATGGCAACATTACTATAGAGTTTTTAAAAAATAATACCAAGCGAATAAATTCAATGCAGGCCGGAAGGATTCACAACCTTATTCTGATATGAATTTAATGTGGATCTAAATAGACCCAATAAAACAGGAACGATGATAATACTCAATTCTCGCTATATTTAGGGTTTCTTGTCAATCGTAGTCAGCAAGATAAACACAAATGGAGTATTTTTGGTTTTAACAAAACTGAATAAGCAAGATGGCTTTATATAGCTGAAAATAATAACCCAAATGTAATTCTGGAATATTCCGACTAGATTAACATTAAAACACTGACTAATTAGAAATAAATTTAAGTGGAATTAAAACAGGACCACCAAATTTACCCATTACAACCTTGATTGTAATTAAAGTTATTTAACACAAACCCAAATATTAAAAGGCCCAGCAAGATAATTAATATCACATGCTTAGAAATATCTGCTTCTTTTTTTTTTTTTTTTTTTTTTATTTATTTTTTTTTTAATTTTTTTTTATGGATAATTGCCTGTGCTTCGGTTTTCTTGATTGACATTCCCAGACCCTTTTGTTGACGAGGTCCATACCAGGTTACTATTTTTTAGTGTAAGATTCTGTTTTGTTTTTGCCAATATAGAGAAAATTGGGATACTTCTCGAGAGATCAAAGTGCTAGAATAAATTAGCCTTGTCTTATGGCTCAATGACTCAGTTGTTAAAGTATGAATCTTGGCACCTTGGTTGTCAGCCACCAGGCTTATGAAGGTATCTCCTGGTAGACTGCTGAGACTGAGAGACGGGAGGGTAGTGGTAAATATAAGGAGACAGAAGAACAATGATGTTCATCCACACCAACCTGTAATACACAGAATATGGAATAGCATAATTTGTACTGCAGGACCAACAATTCATCATGTACTACGTACCCCTCTTGCATATGTTGAGTACCATATTTGAACTAGTTTCTTAATACTTTGTGTTATTCTTTGTTCATTTTTTATGCTAGCCTGGATTATAGTTATGCATGGCAAACTATAGCAGATATTGACTTTAGTCAATGTTGCAGGCAAATGAGGAGACTGAACTTCCTGAGCATCTTCTTGGGACTGTACGGTTAAGTTGTCTTGAACTTGACTCAGCTGTAGAAGCTTGAGGCGGTATCAAAAGAATTATTGATTCAGACATTATTGATCTCCATTCAAAGTGTAGTAATACATTCTTTACTCATTTGCGTCCCCATTCTCTCGCGCAACTGAGTTGGCTTAAAGTCATTATTGTACTGCTTAATAGCTTTATATTGCTCTCAATTGAAACTGTAATGTATTCTTCCATGCTGATTGCTTCAGCTTTTATCATAGAAAGTGTACCAAATCCTAGCTGTTAAGAATGATTTGCATATCGGCCTGTGTATATGTACTAATATGCAGTATAATATACAAAGTATATACAATTTGCCCAGGCATAACTCCATAAAAAGAGCACAACAACAATCTAACCAAGTGTCAAGTAAAAGAAACTAGCAGATGAATCTAGCGTCAATCAATTTAACTCTGGAATCCCAGAGCCAGATTAAAATGACTGTTAACTAATGAAAAAGAAAATCTTCTCGAATAAATGTGACACAGATTAACTTGAACGCCCCCTTTAATGCTTGTATATATACTAAGGTCTTGTTCACTTCACCTTAAAAAATAATATTAAGTAAAAATAATTTTAGTTCAGTAAAAATCAGTTTTAATCAGTAAAATTAATTTAAGTTCAGTAAAAATAATTTCAGTTCAGCAAAAATAATTTCAAATCAGTAAAAATAATTTAAGCTCAGCAATAATAATTTAAGCAAAATTAATTTAAGTTAATGTACTTTGATGCTTTTTTTTACTAGGCTTTTTTATATAAATTATTTTTTCCATATATTGCAAAATATTGTCGTACAAGATTTTTTAATACTTCACATATATTTTTTTTATGCATCACTTTTGTCTATACTTTTATCACATATTGTATAGTTATAAAATATAATATCTTTTTTTTTGTCAAGTATAAAATATTATGTCTTATTGATAATATTGTAGTCGGTGATATTTGGTAAATACAAGTACTATATTTTATAAAAGGGTAACAAAATTCATCGTAATAGCATACCTAATCAATTACAATAAATTCAATAAGATATTGAAATATGATATTCATATATGATTATATAAGCATGATCTATACAATACTACCAATATGTCGTTATATTTTTTTTGCTTAAATATCACATGCCTTGATATGATCAATCAATCTACCAATATTTGCTATAATTATTCGTAAATTACATGCAGTTAACCAGCATATACGTAGTAAAAAATTGACTGACAATTCAAACCAAAAATTTAATTAACAATATTTTTTTCATGCATGTCATAAGTTGTGCTAAAGTCTTTTGGTTTGAGATCGTTAACTCCAACTTGCTGCTTTAGAAACTATTTTAACGATCAACTATATATTTTAATAGTCTCATATAATCATATATATATATATATATATATATATATATATATATATATATATATATATATAATAATGGTGTCAGTGTGTTTGACTTTTATTTAATAAATTGTAGAATGTTTTATTTTATGTTCAACAAATGTAATTAATTATTTGCATAAAAAAACAAATGTAATTAACTATTAAACAGAAATATATAAATTATATAAATTACATAATTTCAAAAATAGATTATTTTACCTAATATCTCTCTCTCTCTCTCTCTCCAATATATATATATATATATATATTAAATCAGTAAAAATAAGTTCATTTCAGTAAAAATAATTTCAGTTTAGTAAGAATAACTTCAGTTCAGTAAAATAAGTTCAGTTCAGAAATAATTTCAGTTCAGTAAAAATAAGTTCAGTTCAGTAAAAATAATTTCAGTAAAAATAAGTTCAGTAAAATTCAGTTTTAATCAGTAAAATTCAGTTTTAATCAGTAAAAATAATTTTAGTTCAGTAAAAATAATTTCAGTTCAGCAAAATTAAGGTGAAGTGAACGGGGCCTAATTCGGAGATTATGTTAAATACTCGTGTCATGAACTCATGATCAAGGACATTAGGAAGCAACTTGATAATTGCATGCTGCTACTTTGGCAATTAGCTTCGGTTCAATGCTTTTCTTTATCCTGTTAATATAAATAGCTGCTTCTGCACTGTAAAATTATTCTTTTGCATTAGAGATTATGAGTTTACTTCAAAGTTGATAATTCATTTGTCTGGCGTTTTATTTGTTCATTGGATTATGTAATAGCTTAAGTGGCCCAGGAACTTTCTTTGATATCGTCCTGATGGGATATGAGGGTTGTCTATAGTCTACAGAGGAGCAGTTTACGGGTAGCTTGTGACTTTTTGGGGTGGCTTTTTACTTGTTATAGTTCTTATTGTACGTTAAGGCGATATTCAAGGAATTGGTTTTTATAAAATATACTTTGGAGTATTTTTTTGGTGTAAAAAGAACAACTTTATTAGTCTAAATTAGATATCTTTTATTATTACTAACTTTTGATTAACTTTTTTATACCATTTTTTAAAAATTAAATATTTTGGTATCACTGCTCAAGGAGCAATACGACTCAATTTTTGTTGTGAGTTTGTGACAGAAAGAAACTGATAAATCATCTAACACATAAAACATTACAATAAAAAGGTGTCCTCCAGAGTAAATAAAGTTAACATAAAACATTACAATAAAAAAAAGGTCTCCTCGAAAGTACACATGCATAAAATATCACAATATAAAGGTATCCTCTAAAGTACACATGCATAAAACATTACAATAACAAGGTGTCCTCCGAAGAAAATTATAAATTCCCGCATAAATGGAACTACTTCATGAGGAAAGGATCAAGCTCCAAGTCTTCTTGTGCTGCAGCAGCTTCAGCATTATTTCCCTACATGTTGAGCCTTTTGGTTTTGATGGACAAATTGACAAACTCGACTAATGAATGTTTTGAGTCTTTGGTGAATAAAGGATTCAAGCAAAGTTCGTTCCGGAGTAGGAACTTGGATGCGGAGTAGCATTCTTTAAAAAGCCTCGTGCAAATCTCACGTTCTAGTTTTAATTGTGAGCACTCAATAATATAAAGTCGGAAAGGAACTCAATGACTTATGTTAAAGACTACTGGAATAAAAGTTAGTTTTAAAAGATAATTTCTTAAAGAAAAGATAATTTGTAAAAGTTTTAATAAAGATAATTATCGAAGATAATTATCTAGTTGTTTTAATAAATAATAAATTTATCTTTTCAAATAAAATCTTTTTAAACAAACTTTTGATAATCTTTTAAATAAAATATTTGATAAAGTTAGCAAGTGGTTTTTCTGTGAGAAAATCTTTTATACGGCTAATGGTTATCAAGTTGTTAGGATAGTGGTTTAATTAGATAAGGCTAGGAAACCTCTTCATGATCACAATCTGTCAAGATAACTCCACAAGTTGTTAGTGGGTTGTTGACATGTGGACGTGATTATGGTGGAGGTTAATGACTAAGCCTTCTCTATAAATACTCATGCAAACTATCTCAGCAAAACATAACTCTTGAGCATAAAAATTCCAGTAGCCATCTAATAACATAAAGAGAGTTATTTTCCTTCATATATTCTTGAGTGCAATAGGTATTTGTAATCACAGATTGTATTCAAGTACTTAGGGGTTGGGATTGTGAGTTTGTAAGGTGAGGTTAAGGAAGCTTCGTTGCTGAAGTCTTCTGTGAGAGTTGGGAACAAGTTCCTAATTTGGGGAACTTGTTAACGGGTTTGAATCTTCACTTGTACAGAGTTTGATTACATAGTGGAAATTTAGAAAAGCCTATATCTTCTCTCGTCATTATTTTATTTAGTTAAATTCCGCAAAAAGTTTTTAGATTTCACCTCAAATACAATTCACCCCCCCTCTTGTATTAGCCAGTTAGACTTTCAGTTGGTATCAGAGCGGGAACTCAGAACACGCAGGCAACCCTGTTGAGTAAGTTCCTGGAAAATGGCTTACACAGAGGAAAAGGAATTCGGGAGTACATCCATTCAAAGGCCTCCATACTTCAATGGCAAATTTTATCCTTATTGGAAGGATAAGATGGAAATCTTTATCCAAGCAGAGAATTATCAGGTATGGCGGATTTTACAAGTAGGAGATTACGAAATTACGAAAACAAATGCTAATAATGAGGTAATCCCTAAACCTATGGATGAGTATGAAAAAACTGATTTTGAAAAACTTGAAATGAATGCTACTGCCAAAAAATTTTTAATTTGGGGACTTGGACCCGATGAACATACTCGTGTCAAAGGGTGCAAGTCCGCAAAGGAAATTTGGGATCTTCTGGAAGTTACACATGAAGGAACGTCAGATGTTAAACGTTCCAAAATAGACATTCTTTTGTCTCAGTATGAGCGCTTTGAAATGGGAAACAAAGAATCCATTAAAGACATGTTTACTCGATTTAAAAGTATTACTAACGAACTAACGTGTCTTGGCAAGATAATTCCTATAGATGAGCAGGTCAGAAAAGTCTTAAGAAGTCTTCCAGACAATGACAGATGGAGAGCAAAGGTTGCAGCGGTGCAGGAATCAAAAGACTTCACCAAGTTCAATCTGGAACAACTTGCGGGTTCCCTCATTACTCACGAGATCCAGTCGAACAATCGGACTCAGGAGACTGTCAAAAGTCAAGGGCTAGCATTAAGAGCTAATGAAGAATCCGAAGAGAAGTCTGACATCGATGAAGAAGAAGCTGCAATGTTGGTGAGAAGGCTGAAAAAATTCTACCGTAACAACAAGTTTTTAGACAAGAAGAAAGGATACAGTAAAAGAAATCAGGAACCCAAAGCCAAGTCTTCTTGTCACAAATGTGGAAGCACCAACCACTTCATCAAAGAGTGTCCATTATGGGAATCTGAGAAAGGCAAGGGAAAAGAAGCTGATCAAAGCAGAAATTCCAAGCCTAACTTTTCTAAAACAAATTTCAGGAAAGCAATGATTTCCACGTGGGGAGAATCAAGTTCCGAAGAAGAGGAACAGGAACACACAGACGATGAAGTAGCCAATCTCTGTCTAATGGCAAAGCATGATGATGAGGTAGTCATTCAACCTAGTTATTTGAAATCTCTCTCAAAGGATAAATTAATCTCTTTATTGTTAGAAACCTTAGATGAATATAAAGAATTATGTGCAAAACTAAGGCAAGCCGAAAAGGCAACTGGAATTTGTAGAGATCATGTTAAGTATCTGAATAGCTTAAGAAATGATGTTCAAGGCAGATTCTTTGAATTGTTAGATAAAAATATTATGCTAAAAGAATCCCTTGAAAGAGTCAAGAGTGAGAATATCATGCTGAATATTGAATTGACTCAATATAAAATGTTGTGTACTAACATT